TCAAAGAATATAGTGGTATCAACAACTCATTTTGGGGTTCTTGAACCCGAACTATCTTTTTGTTAGCATGGAACCCATATGTAAATTTGAATTTCACATATGTGAATTGCGAATTCACATAATTTCATTTTCACATACAACAACACCAAGATTAAATGCTTCAAAAAGAAAATGTTGATACTTTTGTAAACCATTTAGTTTCTTAAAATAAATTCCCAAAACAGCTTTAATATCTAAGTATTGAAAGTCTTTCCCACCTTCATAACACTGAGCTTTATTTAATCCTGCTGGACTAGACCTTTTTATCACCTCAACTACATGGTCCAGACAATCTACTCTTGTTTTCCTATAGAGTTTTTTAATCAATCCAAAACTACCATCACATTTGAATTTGGTATGTCCTGGAACCATGAAGTTCAATTCAACACTTTCATAATATTCACAAATTACCAAATATAAATAAAATCAAATAGTCACATTATTTTATTTTGTCCACCAGCATTATCACAAGTAATCTTTAAATGTTTTTCACCTTTGTTTAATTTTTTAATTCCATCAAAAATCATACTCAGTGTACCATTTGGTCCTTTTCCTATAATTTCATCTTCGTTAAGAATGTAATTAATTTGTTCCCTTACTGCTTCATTTTGAATACCAAATAAATGAACTTTGCATGGACTAAGGTAATAAATTTTACTTACTTGTTGATCAGAATGTGGCACATGAACATTTTGGGCTCAATCATAACTATAATGAGCAGTGGCATCAACACTGCAATATTGTATTTTACCCTTTGAATAATTTTGATTAACTAATTTTCTTTGTTTTTCTGCTAGTTTGGTGTTTTTATTATAATAATTTTTTTCTAGTTTGGCCTTGGACAGATGTTCTTTAAATCTTTTAAGTAAATCTTTAGCTTCCTCCTCTTGGCAAGCATTATAATGTAAACCATCTCTAAAATGTTGACAAGTATCACACAAATCAGTCCTGGGACTCATAATTTGAATTTCTGGTGTCAATTGATGTCATAATTTTTCTGAATGCATCATTTTAATTTGCTATCTTCTTCTAAACCAGCCAAAAGGTCTCTATTTACTGATTTATAACTCATTTCAGCTGGTAAAAATATAACTGATTGGGTTATTTTATTGATACTTTTGCCTGGGCTTGGTGATCCATGAACTTCAGCATATTTTTCTAGAAAATTCTTTACTAATTCAGCAACATTTTTATCAATCACCATCTTAGTTTTCCATTGAGGCATTCTTTTAATATTACCATGAACTCTTGCTAGAAGACTATTGTTTATCAGGTGGTTTCTGATATTTTCAAAGTAAGTTCTGCCAATTCCTAGCATATTGAGATAGGTTACTTGACAAAGAAGTGTATTATGATCTCAATGATAGAAAGTTCTTTTATTAGACCTAGTTTTCTTTTTAAGACATCTGCTAGTGCTTGTTGATCCACCATCCATTGCTTTAAGTTGGGCCATTAAAAATATGTCTTGTTCTGTTTTGGAAAGGATTCTCTTAATTCTGCAAATTGTTCCTTGGGAATTCTTGAAGAACAACCACAATCACAACCTTTTTCTAAAAAGTTGAGTGCCCTTTCATATTCATTAGAGCCATTATTACTTTTCATATACACTTATCCCTATATATACAATTTTATGCTTACTTTGTAGGTTTTCCTTTATTTAAAATTGAAGAGATTCTAAAATTGGTCCTGTGGTGATGAGCAAAGTGGGCAGAAAAGAATTAAATTTGAGTGGATCTGCAAATAAATATCAGAAATATTTTCATGTACTGTATATATTCAATAATTGGTATAAAAGAGAAAATAAAATCCTCAACTGGTTCCATGAAAAATAATTATGTTAGTTTTAAAAATTTTTTCTAAATAAAATTTTTTAAATTCCTTATACACAGACACGAATTTTTTATCAGTAGGGAGATAAATAAATGCACCAGAATCATTCCTATGTCTCATTGGTGAGGATAATCCATGTATTAAAGAATCTTGATTTAGAAATTTTTTTACAATTGATTTTAAATTTTCATCAATATTGACTTTAGTTTTATGTATAGGAGCTCTTCCTGTATTTCCATGAATTCGTTCACTTATTCCTTCATCATGCAAATGCTTTAGAACATTATTGAATTTAGAATCACTTATATTGTATAGCTTTAAAAATGCTGTTTTACAAAGAGCATAGGTTGAATTAAAACAATATCTATAGTTCATTCTCTGAGGGATCTTTTCAGAAGATATTCTATAATTTTTTTTTTGTATTTCTATTGCTAAAAGTTGTGCTTTTAAAAACAAATCTAATTCTTTGCTGTTTAAATTAATAACTTGAAAATGTCTTTCAAAAACTTTTTAAATCCAATTTTTTCAAAGCAAGTTCTAATATCTTTTTGTTTTTCAGGAGTGCAACATATGCAACTTGCTGGACTTTTAAAAAATTTTATTAAATTATGTACAATTTCTTGAATATTTTCATAATTTTCATAATCCTCTAGCAAGTTCAAATAAATCATAAAAATATTGAGAAGCTTCTTGATTAGTTGACATGTTTAATTGACACACAATTTAGCCCAAATTAATTAAAATTGCAAAATAATAATAAATATTAGTAATTCTAAATTAAATTATTTTTATTATTTTCAATAACCAAAAAAGGGGTAACAACTTTGTTTCTAGATTTAAAAAATCAGGGTTGTTTTGATTAGTGAAAAACAAAATCGGCTGATTTCTCAAAAACCCATTTTTCCTGAACTATCTTTTTGTTAGCATGGAACCCACATGTATTAACAATATTTATTATTATAAAAAAAAGAAAACAAAAAATAATACATGTACATATATATAATGCAACAAAAAAAATAGTGTACCTCTTGCCATCAATAAACAGCACCTTGTCTTCTTTAGGGCAAGCCATATCGAACAACAATGTTCATGCTTTCTCATCTTGTAAAAGATAAATTGTTTTTCCAAAAAAAAAATTCAATTGCGTCAACAATAACAATAGTAATAGGGCTTTTTTTTTAATCAACCAAGAAACTGCAACAATAAAAGAAAAGTCAAGAATAACTGGGAGAAAACCTCTAGGTAAGTGTCATTCATCATTAAATGGTGGTGGCTACAATCACCACATTGCAACTTGTTTAATATAAATAATTTTTTTTTACTTGATCAGTTAAGTTGCTGAATGTAAATCTTAACATTATTTTTTTTTTGATTTTTTTTTTGTATATTTAGAAAGGTTAAAGAACATAATAATGAAAACAAGGTATATGATAAGCAAATTTTATTCTCTTAAAATAGATAAGTCTATTTAACGAACTTGAACTCACACAGGAAAATGAGTCAATAATGTCGAAGGATGACTATGACCAATTTGTCAAAGCTTTTAAAGAGATGAAAGATGAGTAAAAATGGGTCCTTTTGACAGGTAAGGTCATAGAGGATTAATTGTACACATTTGGTACAAAATGCACACAAGAACAGTATGTGTTAATTAAATTTCATCTTACATATTCATATTACAGTGATCTACTTAAAGATGGTAATATGTTTGCTATCCTTCTCCAAAGTTTATGTCATTCATCCAGAAAAAATAAAAAAAATTTGCACATGTCAATCGTAAGTTTAATAATAAAAAAGTGTAAAACTTATGTTGACACCATAAGATTTATGCAATATTATGTTGGCATTGTAAGATTTACACAAGTTTACACTAAATTAATTTCCTGATGTTCCTTTACCATAGATCCCAAAGATGAGAATTATTTAAAAAATGGTATATTCACCAAGGATGAATTGTCAGAAATAAGTAACCATAAATTAAAGAAATTACCAAAAATCGATAATAATATCTTAGAATATTTAAATAGTTTTTGTGTTGTAAGTTTTTGTATAAAGTGATATTGTCACTGATTAAATTTGGGAGAGTGTATTTTAATTGGTGATAACAATTATTTTTGTTTTTGCGTGGATCAGAATGAATAGGGGGTCAATGAATTGATTTTGGTATTAGTGAATAATTTTGGTTAAAGAAGATAATAGTTTAAATAAAATATTTCTATTTTATTTATTTAGTTTTATTTAGTCGAAACTAATTAACTTATTATCAAGTTACTTTTACATTAGGTCGAAATCAAGTTCTTTATATACATGTTCATTTACATATTAGCCCGAATTGTGCATTTTTGCTCAGATTGCACAAATTCACTCATTTTGTACTTGGGTGAATCTGCACATTTTGAGCAATTCTGCCTGTTCCAGGAGAATTGTCATTAATCTCTATTAAATAAAGTTAAATAAATATGAATGTGCTACGGATTGATTAGTAATAATAATCCAATATGTAAACTTCAATAAAAACTCTTTAAGAAAAATAGAAACTATAGGATTCGCACATGCTGGTCTGTATTATGGTTTGCAATATGATTTGGTTTAATACACTAACTGATCAGGAATTCTGGATGTTAATAGGATTGAAAGTACTGGTGTTAAGATTGAACTCCCCAACAGGATATGTTTGCAGGGTCTTAAGAACAAACATGTTTGAAATTCCTCCAAACATTAATGAATTTGGTTCAAAAGCTTTAAATGCATTCATTATGACTTTAAAAGCAAAAGTAAGCACTATTGTTTATTGCTTTTTTGTAATTTATTTTTGTATACTTTTTTTTTTTAATCATACAGAAAAATATAGAGCTTTTCAAGCATCCAAACTCAAAAGAAGCCAAGAACCAACTTCTAGGCTTGCAGGGAATAATATCAAGTTTTGTTTTAATTATTTGTTACTGCATGGTGTCTCAGAATTTCTTTTTGGTAATTCTAATTGTCTAAACATAATTTCCATTTTTACATAATATGTCCTCACTATTCTTGGCATTTGTGGGAATTCCTGTTTAATGTGAGAGTTAGCTTAAAAAACAATTGTGTCATGTTAGTTGTGGCTCCACAACACTCTCGATTCCAGAGGGTCTGGCACATGTGTCTACATGTCTGGAGTGTCCAAAACTGTTGAGGTTTACTAAATATCACTTCACACTTGGAACATATTCTGCTAGTTCTAAATCCATTAATAATTTTTACTCTACATCTTTTCCTTAACTCCCACATCGGCTGCTTTATTGGACCAGCAGCATGTCCTTTAGAACTTGATGAAAATGAAGCATGACTGTGATTATAAAATGAAAAATTTTTTTTTTAATTTCTCTAAATAACATAAAAAATTAGTATCATGAAAATAGGTAATATTTACCCAAATGCCACAACAGTTCTCTCATTATTGGCAATCCTCCTACAGATCTTATCCATTGCCTTTTGTTTACCAATATAGTTTGACCATCTTAACCTTCTCCAACGTTTTTCTTTATAAAAGTCAAATAAATCATCCATATAAAAAGTGCTTCAGAGAGATACTGCACTTGGAAACCATGAACTGAAGGAACAGAAGGTGTTGGTAAACCTGAAATATATAATATTAAATTAATAATAATAATTAATTAATCTTTTAAAAAAAATCAAAATGTTTACCTCTGACAATGGCTTGTATGTATTTATTTTTATTCATCCAAACCTTTCTTTTCTTTCTTGCCTTTGTAAACCCAGCCATCTCATAATATTCTTTTGTGCTGCATTTAATTACTTTTTCATTTTGATCTACAGCAACAAATAAATCCCTTCTTCCAGGGCCAACACCAATACTCTACATCCCTTCAAATCTAATTTTTCATACTCATCATCATCATCATTCCTTTCACCAATTTTTTTTGGCTTTTGTAGGTGGACAGAAGCACATATAACATCAGTTTGTAGATACACTGTCCTCCAAAAAGTATTCGGACGATGTTTTTTGATAATTACGCAAAATGCCACATAACGAAAGTACATAAAATTTATACCATATATGGCTTAGGTTTTGGCGGCTCTACATATAAATTTTCATTATACTGTCTTTCTTTTATGATTTTTAGTTAAAAAAAAACGAACACCAAATAAATCGCGAGGATTATCTTTGCGAATTTTTAATAATTTTATGTTTCTCAAAATCTTATATTATAAAATTCAATAAAAATTTAATAGTTTGTAGTTTAGGTCCTCATAAATAAACAACTAAAACTTTACGTTCCTGTCATGTGTGAAATTTTTGTTATTAAAAATAAACTGATATCAATAAAATTGATTAGATCAAAAAAAATTTCACAATTTTTTTTGATTTTTAAAAATGGCAAAAAATTCAGGATTAACTGAAGCTGAGCGAGGAAAATTTTAGGTCTAAGAATAGCTGGTAGTTCTCTTTCAAAAATCGCAAAGATACTTAATATTCCAAAGTCTACAGTTCACGACACTATCAAACATTATGAGAATGCCGAAATTTAAAAAAACATATAAAATGATCATCATAAAATAAGATAAATTTTGACCAGTGTTTGTTTTTTTAACTAAAAATCATAAAAGAATGATAAAAAAACGAGATTTTTCACATAGGTTCTCCAAAACCTAAGCCACATTATGACATAAATTTTATGTATAGTGCAAGTCACTTAGTCCCACAACTTTCTGCGCCAGACCGCCAATTTTGGGAAAAATTCCCAATCAAAAATGCAATAAAAATTTTATGGTCACATGATTTTTGTTTGTTGTAAAATTCTTTTTTGATTCATGTCTGGGAAATTCACGTGATAAAAGATCAGCAATATAAAAAAAAAATTTTTATTTTTATTTTGTTTCAATCCGCCTATTTTTGCGTGTAACACGCCATTTCAGGGCTAAAACATAGTAAATTCGGTAAACTTGTGCAACTTTGAAGCTCAAATTCTCCACAACAACATGACATACCAATGAGATGAAATCGTGATTTTGCAGAGGAAGGTCTTGGCTTCAAATACACGATTTATTTTTGGGTGTTGCATTTCCATTTTTGGAGAATTTGAAAATCTACACGACCAATAAAAAGTTGTGGGACTAAGTGATTTGCACTGTACCAGGATTCACAATGATTATTCTGTCTATTATATATATTTAATATAAAAATTGGAACACAAAAAACTGGTAAGCACGTGATTTTACAAATTATTTTTGAAATATCAAAAAAAAAAATGATTAAAATAATAAATAACACGTCCAAAACGAATTGGGGATTTAATCCAAGCCAGATGAATTGATAATTTTTGAACGTGTCCAGGCCAAAATGGCAGTGATTATCACGATTAATTACTTTGACATTTTTTTTCTGCTTAAATCATTAAATTGTTTGTTAATTTTAATAAAATGATTAATAAAAGAAAAATATTTATGTTTATTTATTAATTATTTATAATATAATATGGCTTTTTTAATTTATTGTGATTAATCTATTATGTAATGATTGATGAATTATTAAATTATAAAATAAAAAACAGATTTCTTTATTTTTTTTCTTTCATCTAAAAAAATTATAATTAACATCATCAATTAGATAGAAATGGCTCAAGTTGGCGGCGATAATGGTGATAATTATTGAGAACAATTAGAACAAATAGAACGGCAACAGCAACAAGAAAAAGAAGAACAAGAAGGCGGCGAGAGACAATGAAAACGACTAGAATCAGAAACTTATAGTCATCGAAAAAAGTTATTTCAGGGGCAGCAGAAGATGCCACTTCTACAATTATAGAAAAATTAAAACCAGCGATTTCTGAAACTAAACAAGTTATTGGTCATGCAGCACAAAAAAGCAAAAAGTCGCTACACACATCCTATATATTATGTGCAAAAAGCAACATCCTTCTTTTGGGAAAATTTTCCTCCTTTAAGTTGGTTTACTTATGGAGTGATAGCGTTAAATGCCATACCTTTAACAATCCTATTGACATTTCTTTTTGTTACAACAAGTATTGTTGTGTTGATCATTGGTACCAGAATCTTTTTGGCCAAAGGATTTTTCATTGGTGTTGGATCATTTTTCTTTGTTCCTGTAATGATCATAATGATTTTTGCATCACGTGTTACTGCTTTTTTCATAGTTTTTTGCTGGAGTATTTACTCGATTATTAGGTATATATTACATACTTTTGATTTAATTGGAGAAGATAATACAACATCGTTGTCTTTTGATACTCAACACATCCTTTCTAAAACTAGTAAAGTTCTTACAGGCGGTAAAGAAGGTGGTATTGGTGGTGATGCAAGCAGAGGCAAGAAGAATTTAATTGAAGAAATAATAATTTTACTGTATTGACATACATGGGTTGCACAATATAATATAATATAATACAAATATATATAATATAGCAAACTTATAATTAAAATAGCTATTAATAAAATAAATCGTTAGCCTTTTAACTTTGATTTTACAATGATAAGTTGGGAATTTTTATGATAAACATTTATTTCAAGAAATCTATAAGCCTTAAATAAATAATAACAATTAATCGATTAAACATAATTAATTGATTAATCAAAGATGACCTTTACTTACCTCTTCTGAATTTAAAAATTTATGAGGTTTTGATAATTTTGAATCTAAATTCCAAACTGTAGCATCCTCTAATAATAATTTGTTGGTGGCATATTCTTCCCCATCACTAACATCATCTTCATCCCCATCCCCATCCCCATCTTCTTTATTATTATTATTAATGTTATCAAACATTGGTTTAATTGCAAACCAGTGATTGGATTTCCAAAAATAAAATTTAGTTTGCATAACATTTAATATCAATCCAAATAGTGTTTTGTCATTAAATTGTATTACTGTACGAATATCTTTTAACACATTAATAAATCAATTAATGATTATTTATCCTTTATATAATTATTAATCTCTTATAATGCCTTCTTTTTCTTTGTACCTTTTCTAGAATCAAACCATTGAGTTTCTAAACCATCCTTTCTAAAACTAGTAAAGTTCTTACAGGCGGTAAAGAAGGTGGTATTGGTGGTGATGCAAGCAGAGGCAAGAAGAATTTAATTGAAGAAATAATAATTTTACTGTATTGACATACATGGGTTGCACAATATAATATAATATAATACAAATATATATAATATAGCAAACTTATAATTAAAATAGCTATTAATAAAATAAATCGTTAGCCTTTTAACTTTGATTTTACAATGATAAGTTGGGAATTTTTATGATAAACATTTATTTCAAGAAATCTATAAGCCTTAAATAAATAATAACAATTAATCGATTAAACATAATTAATTGATTAATCAAAGATGACCTTTACTTACCTCTTCTGAATTTAAAAATTTATGAGGTTTTGATAATTTTGAATCTAAATTCCAAACTGTAGCATCCTCTAATAATAATTTGTTGGTGGCATATTCTTCCCCATCACTAACATCATCTTCATCCCCATCCCCATCCCCATCTTCTTTATTATTATTATTAATGTTATCAAACATTGGTTTAATTGCAAACCAGTGATTGGATTTCCAAAAATAAAATTTAGTTTGCATAACATTTAATATCAATCCAAATAGTGTTTTGTCATTAAATTGTATTACTGTACGAATATCTTTTAACACATTAATAAATCAATTAATGATTATTTATCCTTTATATAATTATTAATCTCTTATAATGCCTTCTTTTTCTTTGTACCTTTTCTAGAATCAAACCATTGAGTTTCTAAACCATGTTCTTCTAAAGCTGCTTGCAACACGTTAACATCATAATTACCTAATCCACTTGAAAGATATAAATAAATAAATCAACATTTGTGATGTTAAATCAATTATATAATAAATTAATAATATATATATTTATTTATTACTTACAAAATACTTTTATGCTGATTAAAATATGAATTATAAATATTTTTTACATACTCAATATAACTATTGGAACTGCCATTAACTCCCGAATTTATTGAATCCTGTGCAAGTTTTATTGCAATTTCATCAAGTTTTGATCTTGTAAATAGTTGACATTGAAACTTTTTTTAAAAATGCAAAAAATTTATTTATTATTTATTTATTTATTTAGTAAAAAAATAAAAAAAAATAAAGATTTTAAAATTAACTTACAAGATTGTTTAAAGTATGCTTATAACAGATAAACAGTAATGGTAATAGTTAATTAATTGTTTAATTGATGTATACATTAATTAAACCTTATTCCTAAATTACCTTTCCACAAAGCCAAAATCTTTGTTTTTCATGGTAAATTTCACTATTGTTATTAACACAGTCATACTTTTTGTCGTGATAGTTTTCATTTTTATTATTGTTATTACTATAATTAGCAGTATTGGTAAAGGTTAAGGAGGGTGATAAAAATTCCTCAGCCATTAATAAACGTACAAGGGCAAAAGAATGAAAAAGAATGACAAAAAAAAAAAATAAAGCTGATCAATATTTTTTGAATTAATCAAACAATATAATATAAATACTTCCTATTTAAGAAAATTCTATTTCTGGTTTGTTAGACGAATCAAAACCATTATCGATCGAATCAATTTATACATATCAATCTATCCATATTAATCATACAAAAGAAAAAAAAATTACTATGATAATCTTTTGTTCATAAAGACGGATATCAATTTGAATAAATTGTATTGTTTGCAACAAAAAAATCGAGAGGTTAGCAACAGATCGTGGAAATAAAGACGTCGCACGAATGTAAAAAAGATTCAAACGAGAATGTTTTTATTGAATGGACGACTCCATTGAACGATTTCAAAGATATTAGATATTTGGCTAAAGGTGGATTCGATGAAGCCCATTAGTAAATCGGATTAATTTTTGTCACAACTTTAATATGTACAAGTCTGGTGGCAAACTTGTACATCACATCAAGGGGATGATGTCTCTTCTAATTAATGCTCCATCACTTCTTGCAGTAATTGAAGCAAGTTTCTCATTATCAATGGTATTACTCTTACCCCTTTTAACAATTAATTAGTCATTATGAAAAATTGGTAGTCGAAACTGCCAAAACGGTAAATGCAAATGTAACTATATTTCCAAAAAGTTCGTTAATTGAAATGAATTATGGATAAATGCTAGTTAAAAACTATATTATTGAAAAACTGTTTTTATTATAGAACGGAATGATCACAACTCCAAAAGTAAAACGCGAATGATAAATGTGGTTATTTATTTATATATATACACATTGAGGAAATTAAAATGAAAAAATTTCGGATGAAACCGAACGAATTAATTTATTTATTATTATTACCGTATGAAAGAATCCTTATTTTCTTCGATTTAAGGTCCAAATTTAAAAATGAACTTTTTTAGATAATTATGAAAATAGTTGATTCTATATTTTGCTAAGGTTTGCGCTTTCATATAATCAATCCATTTCGTTTGTTATTGATTTTTGTAACACCAAGAGACCCTCAAAGGGAAATGCTTCAAGAAGATTAACATGTGAAAATGTTAAATTTAAGTTTAATAATTATAAATAAGCCAAATACCGTCTATTTTATGAGCTTCGTAGATCGTTGTCTATTATAAAAGGAATCATTATCTTAAAAAATTTTTAACGTTTCCTATATACAATTTTTTGTTAATATTTTTAATAATAATAAAAAAAGCAATAGAATATTTAAATAAAAAAGGCAATAATAAGAGTTAAGATTATTTTTATGGGAAAATAAAATACGTAATAATAATGTAATTTGGCAAATTTGGTGTAACAACGTGAATATTTATATAAAAATTTTTGTTTTAAAATTATTTTTACATTCAAAACAAAAAAACCAAAAAAAATCAAAATAGAAATATTTATTGTAAATTTAAATAAATAGTCGCTTAGAAACATGGTAATTTACATTTCCATATATCTATTTATTCTTTTTTTGAAAAAATTTTTGGAAATATTAACTAATTTCTTTGGTATTTTTTAAAATGGTAACACGTTTTGTTTTGGCTCTTTGTTTCTTTTAAATATATTCTGATTATTTAAAACATATCATATCGTATTTGTCAATGTATATATGCACGTGTATTTCTCTATGCATCTCTCCTTTATTATAGTCAGCTATTGAAAACATTTCACCAGTTATCATCAAAAGAATATCCAAGGAGTTGAACGTTCTTGTCGCACAGCCTCCAGAAGGAATTAGAGTTATCATTAATGAGCTGGATGTTTGTGATATTCAAGCTTGGATATTAGGGCCTGGTTAGTTAACCGACTAGTTTAACTACAGATAGCTTCAAATGACCTTTTTTTTCTCTTTGTAAAATGATGGTAATGAATGATATTGATCTTTTCTATTTTCTTTTGAAAATATGTAGAGGGAACACCTTACGAAGAAGGAATGTTTAAGATTAAAGTGGTATTAGGCACCGATTTTCCATCAGTACCTCCAAAATGTAACCAATCAATCAATTAATTAATCAATCAATAAATACAAAAATAATGATTTACTAACCATTATTATTATTATTATTATCGCTATGAACATCAAATCAACAACAGGCCATTTCATAACCAAAATCTTTCATCCAAATGTTTCAAAATCTGGTGAAGTTTGTGTAAATACACTAAAAAAAGATTGGAACAAAGATTTTGGGATTGAGAGGATTTTACTGGTAATAAATAATTATTATTAGATACATATAACGTATATAAATGTATTAACATTCATTATTCCACACGCTTCTTACGCGCATACGTACATATTTGAAGACTGTAAAATGTCTCTTGATTTTTCCTAATCCGGAATCTGCGCTTAACGAAGAAGCTGGCAAATTACTTTTAGAAGAATACGAAGAATATGCTAAACATGCTAACATGATGACAAAAATTCATGCACAAAACAAAATATCGGAATTTTTTACAAATAATAATCATAACAGCAATAGTCATAATAACGACAGTAATAATAGTAATAATACTGCATCAAACAATACTAGTAGTAGTAGTAACAATAATAATAATAATAACAACAACAACAATAATAATAACGCCATCACCGCCACAACTATCAGCAGTACTATGATAACTTCCACCACATCATCATCACCTACATCAACAATACACACACCAAATTGTTCTTCTTCATCTTCAAAGAAATTCATCTCGCCATCATCATCATCGTCGTCGTCGTCACCGCCATTACCACCATCTACTACCATACCAACTACTTCTACGAATATTGCACAAACTAAAACGTCTGCACCAAATACTAACAATAATACCAATAACAATAACAACAATAATCCGATGATGATCACAACGCCACTTGCTCCGTCTCAATCAATCAACGAATCAAAAAAATCTCATCCAAACATAAAAAAGAATCCTACGGCTTCCATCTCATCCGATAATTTAAATCACACAAGTGTAACACCAAAGAAACGTGTTGCCTCTAGTGATAAGAAATTAGATAAGAAGCAAGCTGATAAAAAAAGAAGCATGAAAAGACTTTAATAGGAAGAAATATCAATAACAATTATTATTATTATATTATACAGCATTATTGATTAGGCTTTTAAATAAAAACATGCAAAAAAATACACAAAAAAAATATATATATACAAAACAAATATAGATATAGATTTATTTTTATTTTTTTTTTTTTTTTTAGTTTATCTTTAGTTTTATTTTCTTTAGAAAAGTATTGTGTTAGTATTAATTACTATTACTTACCATACCTTCATCCTCATACAACACCATAACATCATCATATTATTTGTTTGATCTATTGCAAAAATAAAAAACCTTTCCGTAAAGTTCAAATTGCCATCTTCTCTTTCCTTGGTCTAAATTTCCATCCTTTGATTCATAATTCAATTATTAAGATTAGTTTATATTTCTCTCCCTTTATTTTATTTTTTTTTTTTTTATTTTTTTTGACGCGCAAAAACAATTTATTATTTTGAATTTTTATGATGGTAAATATATAGATATACTAAATACGACAATAATGACTTTTGATTTTTGTAGTATAAGAATTATTATTACAAAAAAATAAATAAGTATATTTATATACATTTTATTTTATTTTCTATAAAACAATATGGATTTTTTTAGAGTGTTTGTATATAAATAAAAGATATCTCAACTTTGTTCTCTAAAATTTGCAGTATAAACTGACTGATACGTGTAAATTTGATCTCTTAATGTTTATTCCCAATTATATGGAAAAAAATACAAGACGTGCGTGAGCCATTCTATCTAACATATGGATAAGAAGCTACATTTCCAGTAGAGTTCCGCATTAATACCTCCTACTACTTACCATCAGAATTTATAATGGAAGAAGCGATGCAAGAGCAAGCTATTTCTTAGAAGGATATAATCGGAAATTTATCTGGGCAAAGGACCAGAATAACTTTGTTTGTTTCACGTTCATTAGCTAACTATGACTGCGATATCAAAAATGATCCAAGAGACGAATTTCAAAAAATAGCAGCTCTACGACGATTATCCGGAGAAACTGTTCTAACACCTCGACGGAGCTCGATAATGGAGAATGTTGATCTTTCTTAATTAGAGATGGGCAAATGTGCGTCAAAGAATTTTAAACTAGTACAAATTTAGAAAGTATCTTCAGAAATATTGTATTTGATTGGATATTTCTTTAAGATACTTTCTAAATGTGTACTAGTTTGAAATTCGTTATAACAAAGTTTGACTGTAATAGTGTTGAAATTTGATTGGATGATTTGCAAAATGTAAAATACAAAACTGAAAATAAATTATTTGGCCATTACAATAAACACGAACATTAAATCTTTATTTAATTTATTCAACTTGCACTTTTTATCTTTTTGTATTAAAGATTTGATTTATATATTTAATGAATTATTAATTATACTGAATGAATTATTAATTATATTGAATGAATTAAATATCATAAAAATCAAAACTTTTTTCACTTTTATTTGATTCTTTAATAAAATTTTCATGTATTTCATCAGCTTCTTCGATGGAATTTTCATAAATTTCTCAATTACGTGGTAGTTTATCTGTTTACTAGTATTTGAAGCATCTAAATGTTCTCCAAAAATAATTTCTTTTAGTTTGAATTGTAGCATTTGACAAAGGCGTAAATGGTTTTCACATATAAATACTGAACCAGTACATTGATATTTTTGCAATATAGACATTCAAAACGTAATTACTTATAACATTAACATTATCAATATGTTTAAAATGTTGCCAAAATTGCACTTTGGCAAGTCATGGTAAGTTTAAAATATATACCGTATTTAATTTTTACGTGTAACATCATTTGGTAATAACCTAAACAGGAATTTATCTACTATATATATGTTGGTCAATTTAACGATCTGCAAAGCAAAAACAGTCAATCGACTAACTTTTAAAGAAGATTTTACAAAAACTACAAGGACAACAACCGGATTTTTATTTATAGATTAATCGGCTGAATCTCAAAGATCATTTTCATATTAGAAAGTGATGCCCCCAGAAAAAATTTTTTACATCAGAAAAATTTTATCGGCTATCAATAGCTGATTAACCGTTTAAGGGATACGTATAGTACTTATCTGCTCGTCCCTATTCTTAATATTAATATTGTTACGCGATAGCGTTATCATTTTGTGCATTACTTAGAAATATACCGGTTACTTACGTATTACTAGGGTCGATAAAGTCGACTGAAGCACAATAATAATAGACTTAGTCGATAACATCGTCAAAGTAGACCTCTAATTATAAAACATGTATATAAACAACTCGAATTCAATGTACTTTGAGAATAAGTTTTCTTGAAGATAATCAAATCATGCCCAAAAATATTCGTTAATAAAAATACCCGATCATCGCAATCTATTGTTTATATTGCTCTCCCAAAAATCAACTAATAAAAAATGGCGTTAGTATGGTTATTTGAAATATTGGCTAATATTACAATTGTGGCATTTGTCTGTTTGTGATGCTAATAAAAACTAGCTAATAATAATAATTTATTATTACGATCCAATCACCTCCCAATTTACCGTCTTGTTTGTTTAACGTATAGTTCCATAAGTTATACTAAAGATATTGTTTTGGCTTAAAACTAATTTTCCCTTCCCGGGTTTTCTAATTTTACAACAGTCAGCTTTTTTGGAAGCAGCGGATGGACCCAACCAAATATCTCCACCCCCAATCTCCACCCTCAGTTTTCGCTTCAACTTGAAAAGTGTGAATATTATTTGGTTTAATCGAGCGATGCTGGTGATCTATTTCGCACTTAAATAATAATAATATATATAATACACATACACACATATATATTAATATTACAAAGTGCAAAATCAATTCCCGACTTTTAAAATAATTTCGAAAAAAGTAATATATTGCGTTAATTAGTATTAATGGTCTCCTTATCCACCAAAAAAATTCATTGATTATTTATTTAGTCATTGAAAATATTCAATGGTGGATAATCGGCAATTAATCATACTAATACGATTATAGTATATGCACTATCATTATCCAATTAATAATTTTTTCTGTCAGTTCTATTTTTCCCTTTGTAGTCAGTCCTTGTAGTGATAGTAATAATACTAGTAATTGACGTTTTTTATTTAGTCAATTAATAATAATAGTTGTAGTAATTGGCTTTTCCCTTGAAATGATAATAATAATAATAATTTAAATTTTTTTATGCTAGCAAATAGTCATTGTAGAGTTTCTATTCGAATAAAAATTTTGTTTTTATTCGTTATGAATTTGAGTATTCGAATTGCACTGAATGTTTATTCGAATAAAATGGATCAAACGAATAATTCGAATAAATGGGATAAATTCGAGTTAAGATTGAGTTGTATTACGAATAAAATGAATGAATAAAACGAATAATTCGAATAAGGATTATATTACGAATAGAAACTCTAGTCATAAGTCCCACTCAAAAGGAAAAAGTAAATATTCCAACTTGTAACACCAATATTGATAATTAACCATTAAAATTGGTGGAACGGGTGCCAACCTCAATTTTTAATGGAATACGGATAATTGGTGGATAATCAGCAGATAATAATAATCGGGTATTTACTGATTAAAGAATTTTTAGGTGGTGCCGATCTCTATGCATAGGAAAGGTCCAATAACGTTACATCGAGAAATTGGTTTTTCAGGAAATTTAATTCTTTCTTTCATCTTGATCAGAATAGTCTGATTAATAATGAGAAAAAAAAAACAAGAAAGAGAAAAACTGGCCATTAATAATTTGATATGTTGAATTTAGAATTATATTTATTAATGTACATGTGTATTTTCCCAATAAAATAAAAAACATATTTTTTAATAAATCTTCTTAATGCTTAGAATGTTTCATTATTACGAATTCTTTCCAGTGTTTGTTCTTCAGCTCCAGGATTCCAAATATCATATATATAATGATCAATGAATATCTCTTTCAAATCCTCAATCTCTTTCAAATCCTCTTTAGTTGGAGACCAGGTAATGTTATTTAATTTTTCATAGAAATAAATATTTTTCGCACATTCTCTATCCATGTGAGTCCTCAATCCAAAAACTCCCAATCTGTTTACACAGTGCCGTTTCTCTCTTGCTACAAAATATGTTAATATTGCTTGATCTTGTCGATGGTTTTCTCTATTACTGCCTTTTGGAGCAATACATTCTTTTACTAGAGCACATTCTACCCAATTATTTATTAAATTTTCTACTCTATTCGAATCTAATGCTATTGCTGCCCCATTACAATTTACAAAATCTGAATATTTTTTTGGATCGTCATTAAAATATTTGAAAACGCCTGGATGTGTCCATTTTAACATTTTACCAGATGATCTAGGTGAAAAGAAACCATCGTAATAATCCAAAATGAGATTAAATCGTTTCAAAAATTCCGACTTTACATAAGTTCCTGAGTCGAGCCAAAATATTGGCCCAGGATAATCTTTAATAACCTCGGATATTATACCAGCCTTCCATGCATATTCTCCTCTAGTCACGTTATCTATTTTCCAAAATCCCGGATACTTTTCAAAATCAAATTCCCTGAATTCATTTAAATATCCCTTCTCAAGTAAGACTCTTGACCATTTTTTCTGATAGTTCACCAATCCAATGTCGTAAACTAAAATCCTGGGTCGTTTAGATGCTGGCATCGAGTCAACTGTCCCTTTCATATAGTAAAGCCAACTTTGTACTTCACAAAAATGATTGGAACTTGCTGCCGTTACTATTGTAAAGGGATGTTTCTTTTGGTTATATACTGCTTGGTCATGATTGTAACTAAACCTAAAAATTTGCTCTTTTGTCACTAATCGACCTATATATTAATATATATAAAAACAGTTAAAATATTTATTTCGTTAATACTTTTTCTAATAAAGTTTTGCAAACCTATTGATCTAAGTTTAAAAGAGATATATGATATGTTGTATGTTACGATGATTATTACTACAAGAAAGAGTATTATTATTTTAAGTTGGGTTGAGATTCGTCTCCATTTCATTTTTTCTTTTAATTTTTTGAATTTCAACAGCTAGAAGATATATAAATAAATGGTAGTGAGTGTGATCTACGCGTTCTAACCAAATTTGAAAATATAAAGAAAATTTGTTTGATCTCATTTTTGATAGTAACTTCAAACCACTAAGGCTTTTTTTATTATTAAAAAAAAACTCTATTTCATTGTTGCTTAGGTTCCAAATTATTAATGAAAAAAAGTCTTGGCTGGGTATACACCAGGGTGCGGAATGTGTGATCAAAAAATATCGGGGAATACCCCGGTTTGGGAAAATTTTATTGGAAATCTTCAAAAAATATCGGACCAAAAAAATTTTCTTAAATAGTATGATTTCTATTCGAATAAGGTTTTACTCGAATTAAATTGAAAGTTTATTAAATAATATATTCACATTGCTAATCCAATCCAATTAAAAAAATTTTATCAATCTATTTTCCTTGTATAATAATACATAAGGTAGCAGAAATAATTGACCATTTTATTTAAATAGTAATGGTATCCATAACAGTAGTAATATAGATTACAATTATTGTAATTTTACAATCCATTAACAATAACAACAACAGCAATATAGAATTTGTTACATCAAGTTGTGAATTGATATTTTTTATTTTTTAAACGAATAAAACGAATAAAAGATATAATTCGAATAAAATGAAATAATAATAATAATAATAATAATAATAATAATAATAATAATAATAATAATAATAATAATAATAATAATAATAATAAATAATAATAGAATTATATTTTTCACATACATATCCGCTTGCTTACTTTCCGGAATATCCGCATCCCAATCCCCGTTCAGCCTAAACTCTTCTATTTCTCCAATCCCATTTTTCATTTATATCATCCTCCATCCGATATTGATTTGACTTCCATTTTATGGTTATGACATTGAGCTCTGAAACCTAATCATTCAATCATACTTTCTATATATGTATATTATGGATGATGATGGCGGATAATTTATTTATTTATTAATTATATATATATATATATATACAAATAAGAATTATTATATTAATAA